CTCATACATGGCTAATGGGAATGCAAATGGTATAGTCACTTTCAAAAACAATTTGGCAGTATTTTCTAACATGAAACATGAACTTACCATATAACCCAGCAATCCCTTTTCAAGACATTTATCCTAAAAAAAAGAACATATGTTCACATAAAAAAAGTATAAGTGGATATTTATAGAAAGTTTATTCATAATAATAAAACCAGCAACAACTCAATGTCCTTCAATTGGCAAATGGATAAACAAATGGTTGTATATACTTATAATGTTATATATCCATACAATGGAAAAGGACGCACATTAGTACTGGGACCAAATTAATCCTAGCATAAATTCTGCTCTGTGTCTTCCCCCCAAAAGCTTAAAAGCTACTTTAAAAATGACCAAGCTTATATGTGAGTTACTTAAACTACATGCCATAATACAACCTAACATTATAGAGGAATGCCTCAAAATCCAGTAACTGACAATTCAAAATTCATAGTTTTCCACATCCAATTATATTTTACTAAGCATGCTAAGAACTATAAAAATATGGTCTGTAATTAGGAGAAATGTCAATTTAGAAAATATATCCAGAAATAACAGTGGTGATGGGATAATTATACAAGGACCTTAAGACAACAGTTATTAATATTATTAATATGCACAATGGTGTAAAGGTAAACAGAGACAACAGTCAGAGGGAATAAAATTTAATAACACTTAAATAGGATGTCTGGAGATGAAACATACAATAAATGAAATGAAACATATGCTAGATGATACTTAAAGAGCATTAAATACTGCAGAAGAAAAAATCCATCAACCTTTGCACATATGATAGAAACAACTTTAATTCCATCTGCTATCTTACTATTCTTTTGCCATGTGATATAATGTAGGTCCAGACATTAGAATGTGGACATCTTCAGGAGGCCATTATTTTGCCTACCATCTAACTAAATAGTGGACAGAAAATGGGAATCATAACAATATATAAATAAATAAAGGTAACATATTTAACTGACAGAACTAAATAGTGGACAGAAAATGGGAATCATAACAATATATAAATAAATAAAGGTAACATATCTAACTGACAGGAGAAAAAGAAAGGAATGAAAAGAGAAAAAGAAAGAACAAATAACAGAGGTGACAAATAAAATAATATAGCGATCTGGAAGTTTTAAACCCAGCCGTATTGACAGTCATATCAAATGCCTGTGATCTAAACACTTCAATAAAAAAGGCAGGTATTTTCAGCCTGAGAAAAGAATGTGAGACTCAATGCTATGCTGTCCTCAAGAAACCCAGTTTAAATATAAAAATACCGATTGGTTAAAAGTAAAATAATAGAAAATATAATCATAAAAACTGGAATGGCTATGTTTATATAAGACAAAGTAGACATCAGAAATTAGGTGAAAGGAATAAATATCCATTGTGGTGACAGAAGTAAGGTTTCTGGCTAGACCTGGAGTAGATTTTTGTTTGTTTGTTCATGTTATATTAGTTTATATATATATGCATAGGTAATATAATGCCATATGTAGTATTATAGTGTGTACAATATAATATACTTATAATATTATATTATATAGTGACTATAGTATTATATTTGTATTGTACTGTGTATAGTGACTCTATGATAGAGAATATGCTATCATAGCTACTACATGCTATCATATAGTGAGTATAAGTTTTTAAATCACAGAGTTCTTATCAAAGAACTCACCAAATAATAGCTATTGCTCCAAAAGTTCAAGAAAACACACAAAATTTTTTTCCTTACTTTATTTTATTTTATATTTGTAGCATTAACAGAATCATGTTTGAAAAGCATATGATTAAGTTAGAATACTAAACTCATTGTATTTCTAAGATTTTTATCAGAATTTCTGTCACTTTATCATTCTGATTATTCTCATACCACAATTTTGTCTATAAAGATGCTCAAATAACAAAACATAAGCTTGCTCTATTTTTGACCTTCAATGAAACATGGAGATTGTTTTGAAAACTCCCCACATTATTTGAATGTGTACATTAAGGCTTAGATATGTTAAATAACAATCAAGGAAAGGCAGAGAAATGGCTTTGAAGATAAAGGAAAGGGGCCACAGGCAAGACTGGCCGAACACAGGCCAGTGCCCTGAGTTAAAGTTAAGTATCTTGATATTCTCTGTCTAAAATATTATTTTATCACATGGCTCCTTCACCAGGCGTGCACTCTATATAAATTTAATTGTTAACATAAAACATTAACTCTTGTTAAGTATTTGTGCATGCCATATTTTTAGTATGTTGATGTCGGAGTTGTGGAACTCAGAACTCCCTTCAAAGTAGAACTACAAAAATTGTCAAAAGTTTAAGTATATTTCTCTTTCACACTGTAGTGACAAAAACGAGAAGGAAGATGTATTTAAGAATGTATTCAAACTGACAAGGATGTTTGCATGGTACATTGTATAAGTCATGCAGAGATCATTTTAAAATTTATGTTTTAAAGATTGACTATTGGTCAAAGGAAACTCATGCAATTGTGTACTGATCTCTCAGCTTCCACATTTGCTCTCATATAATCTACATGGCAGGGAGTGTTTTCTGTATAAAACATAAACCAGAGGCATCACTCCCTGCTTTTAACATTCAGTAGTTCTCCATTGCACTGCAAAGACAGTCCAAAGTGTGTTCACTGAAAATATCATCCAGAGGATATTTATTGGAATCTAAGGCTCTCCACTGAATTTTTACCACTTCTCCTTAAACAGTAAACCCTACTGTTGAATCCCTAGCTGCTGGCCTTCTGCTGAGTTTCTCTGGGAAATCCCTTCACCCTACAAAACCCTGTAGCCACATATCTCATCTAGTTCTCTGTCCCCGAAACTTAAACTGAGCCATCTTTGGCTTTTATGTGCATGACTATGCTCCGGCTGTCTTTCCCCAGTGCTCTCTGCCCACTCCCACAATCCTTGGACAAGCCATAAGGTAGATAAGCAGATACTCATCTGGGAATGAAAGCCCATTTCTCCCTCTTGTAGACATTTGCAGACTTTGGATCAAGGGCACACCAGAAATTTCATACCAAGAACTTGGTTTCTTTCAATGGCACTGGAGAATTTAATATATTTATTTCTTATAGGTTGCTTTATTTATATAATCCCTGAGAATTTGACAATTTTCAGCAGTAAAAAACAGTTTAAACAAATACCTTAAACTATGTTGTTTTAAAAGTAAGCACCAAGAGAGTAGGGGCCAAATCTATATTTTTTAACCTCATATTCTCATAACCAAGAAAATAGGAAATGAACAATTCATGCTTGGTCTTTGTTTTGGTTGGAGAACTCTGTTTTGATTCTACAAATAATTTTTTTTTTTTTGACCGGTAAGGGGATTGTAACCCTCGGCACAGTGTGGTCTACACCGTGAGCGCACCGGCCATCCCTACATAGGATCCGAACCTGCAGCCTCGGTGCTCCCAGCGCCGCACTCTCCCGAGTGATCCACGGGGCTGGCCCTACAAATAATTTTTAACAAAAATTCAAAGAAGAAAAAAATTGCTGAAATTCTAGCTCTATGCTTTTATAGAAATGTCCCAAATACTTCTTTTATACTTGTATCCTCATTGGCATGGTGACACACAGATACAGAGCACTGAAAATGTTCTGAATAAATTAATCAAATAAATTCCAAAAAGGTGATAAAACTGTACATTTCTCAAGCCCCCAAGTCTCCTATGGTCAGTATCTATTTAATTTTTAATCGTAAGTATCTATATTTTTATTTGCGATTATTTTTTAACTGAGAAGTATAGCAAACTACAATTATCAAAACAGATTCTGTGTTTAACTGTGTACTACATCTGCGAGGGAATTCCACTCATAAATGTTTAAACTACTATTCAAACTCTGCTGTTAAAGATTAAATACTTTTTTATATTTAATTTTCGGGTCTGCATATTTCCAACACATTCTCCATTTCATGCCAGTTAATTAAGTTATTAATTTACTTTCACTTGTAATGAGTAGAAAATATCAAATAAAGCAAAAACTAGGTTAGCAAAATAAAGGTTAAAGCTCACTTCAACCTGAAAATTAAGAATTGTTGAATGCAAACTTTTTTAAATGATTCAAAGCACCAATATTGCATCTGATGCTATTTGGGACACTGAGCCTGAGCAAGTCTTGTGGCTTATCCCGGGTCGCAAAATAAAGGTTAAAGCTCACTTCAACCTGAAAATTAAGAATTGTTGAATGCAAACTTTTAAAAATGATTTAAAGCACCAATATTGCATCTGATGCTATTTGGGACACTGAGCCTGAGCAAGTCTTGTGGCTTATCCCGGGTAACCCATCTTTAATAGTATGTAGCTTGGATACAACCCTGTTCTGTCATCAATCCGTACCTGCCCCCATCTAGTGCACCCTGCTGCCTCCCATTATAACACATTTTTAATTGTAAAAATTGCATTAAAGAAGCAAAAGACAGAGTCTCTGTGTAAATTATATGATGGACATTCTTCCTTTGGTCAATAAGCTTATATGAAATATCACAATCATAGTTCTACCAAGATACAGGGTATTATTGAATTTACTTATTATATTACTTATGTGTTAATGATGCTTTTGTTAAAATGGCATTTTCATATCTTTGAAAGGAAATACATTTTAGTTTTGTATAATATTATTTCATAATATTTACATAGATCTAATAAGGCATTAATCACAATATACTGTTTATTCAGAAACTTGAACAATGAATTAATGTAAATAATATATAATTAAAATAGTATCTTCCATTGACAGTATGACTAATTACTACCACATGTTTTCTGGTTAATCTTCACAACTATCCTGAAATGTAGATATTACTGTGAAACAAATTACTCAAGATGAATTTAAAGCCTTACCTCTCTGACTATTCAGTAGGTGGCCTATACTAACTATTATGTTGATTTATTTTGCTTTCTGATGGCATCTTTCATGTTTAGCTAATCATTTTCTATCTTTGCCTTTAGGATTTGATACCAGTATTTTGCCAATTTGCAAGGACTCACTTGGCTGGATGTTTAACAGACTTGATACAAACTATGACCTGCTATTGGATCAGTCAGAGCTTGGAAGCATTTACCTTGATAAGAATGAACAGTGTACCAAGGCATTCTTCAATTCCTGTGACACGTACAAGGACAGTTTGATATCTAACAATGAATGGTGCTACTGTTTCCAGAGACAGCAAGGTAAAAGATGAGACCCCTACAGTTGCAAATAGTTCACCTGCATATCAAATTGTATCTATTCCTTCATGATAAAAAAAAAAAAATAACAGCGCACTATGCCCTATTCATTTTGGTAAACTTTTTTCTAATTTGAGTCTTTACTATAAGAGCAAATAAGCAGCAGGTTGAACAAAATAACTCTGCTAGAGATACGATACAAGCTAAATAAGATGAAAAATAGTAATTATTATTTCATATTAATGCACTTCATTGTAGTTTGCATTATGAACCACCAAGAAGTAAATAGAGATATGAGAATGTAGATATTAAAAGTAATCATTAAAATTAATTTGCTATCTGCTTAGCCCACGGTGTAAAATAAATGGGTTTTTTATCATTGTATGGTGGAGTGTTAATATTCTATTTTGTGATCTTATTAAATGAGCTGAATGAACCACAACATTCACCATAAAGTTATTTTTACTCGTTTGATTTTAAAATGACAGTCTTTCAAACTTTTCAAAGTAGCTTAGCTTTTTAAAAACTTCACTAGCAAATAAAGTGTCTTAATACTCTGGAAGAGGTGAGACAAGATGAAGAGTTGGAATAATATTAGTTCTTTATGGATCTTTCTTTATTAGGAAATGTAAACATAATGTAAAATTGGAATCATACTTCCAGAATCAATCAAATGATAATTTATATTAAGTATGTACAGGGAAACAAATCCAAAAAAACTCACAGTATGATAAAGTTTTGGGAAACTAAGAAAACAATGATATATGTAATTTTGATGCTAACTTAGAAAAAATAAGCTCTGGGAATTAGTTTGATGGGGTATACTTGCTATTGTCAATACTTTCTAAAATTCTTGGCAGTTAAGAGAATGAACAAGTTTAAACCATATCCTTGATTCTCGGTCTTTTGTATGAAAACTCACACATTATTTATCTTAATTACTTTTTCATATTTAACAATAGTTTAGTAATTAGGGATGAAATGATTATCTATTAGTTAGTGGTGAGTCAACTGCTGGGTTAGCTGAGTAGAATAGCTTAACTATTTATGAACCACTTAAAAAAATAGTTTTGCCATATTAAAATATTTTAAATCACACACAAACACACACTTGAACATATATTGCTGACTTTATTACATATGATCTTGCTAGGTAATTGAACTCTCCTAAAAAACTACATTATGGGCCGGCCCGGTGGCGCACTGGATAGTGCGCTGCTTGGGAAGCGCGGCAGCGCTCCACCCGAGGGTTCGGATCCCACATACAGACCGGTTCCCGCTCACTGGCTGAGCGAGGCGCGGG